CTGAGATACACACTACGTTCACACTCACACACACACACACACACACACACACACACACACACACACACACACACACACACACACACACACATGACCTATGGACAATTGAAGAGTATTTATTGTGTGGACAAAACGTATTATTATCATGGGAAGAACAATGAAATTCCCCACTTCCAACTCAGATTCAATCCCAGATCTCTTTTTAATATGGCAGACATGCTAACTACAAATCCACAGTGCGTCCCGCCAAGCCAATGGTCAACTGTGATTATGCAATGGATGAGACAGTCTACTGGAGCGTAAAACTTTCACATAAGCCACCTTATTTGGCAAACACATGCCAAAGGTGCAGAGGGATATTCCTGCAAGCAGGTTCTGTGAATACTCTTGGGGTAATTTACCCTGAGATGAGGGGAAAGTCTAAATTATTCATTGCAAAGGGCAGGATAAATTTCAACTCAGTCATTTAAAATGGGAGAATTATTGTTTTAGTTGGAAAAAACGTTTCACATTTATTCATTAAAAAAATGTTTTGATTCATTCAGCTGTTTAAGTCAATTATTTTCGTCAATAAAACATGTCAGTAAACAAATTAATAGTTATATCATAAGGATGATTTTTTTGATACACATGAATTATTATGACATGATTTACAAATAACCTGGCCCATTTGTCCTTGAGCTGAAAAGTGTTGACTGAGTAAAATTCAAATGTTCATCTTTTATATTATTTTGTTCACAGTTTTCAAGTTCACGGGACGTCAATTCAGAACTCGAAAGATTAAGAGCACCTTTAACCTACTTGCTAGAACACTACGCAGGTGTTGTTTTGCTTCTAGGATAGACTAGCAGCAGACTGCAGCAGAATGAAGGCATAGACGTGCATTCACTTTGTTTTTCTTCTGCCATGACAACACAGCTGACAGAATCAAAACGCTTTGTTTCTAAAATCTTGCCTCAGCTTTTTAGTGTTTTCCCATATGTCCCCGTAGTCCCTTGTATGACAATCTGGCTGTCAGTGTGGGAAAAAAAAACATCAATGCTACCATTTTAACAGCAGCCCACCCGGAAGTTGTGGGTGTTGGATCACAAAATGACATTAACGGCAGTGCGAAACAGGGGAGAAGTTGACTAATATGGCTTGAATGAATCTAACAAAGCACAATAAATGAAATCAATACATTATGCTGACCGTATTTTAACAATAAATGAAATCAATACATTACGCTGACCGAATTTTAACTAGTTCTGAGAATAATGCACAATGGCTTCTTCTTACCAGGTACATTAGGTATCCTTGCATCATCTTCAACGCTGCAATGGATTTTTTTTCATCTATATGTGAACAATTCTGTGCTTTAAATGTGCTGCCACAACATGCAGCAGCAATTCATATTTTGAACTGCCCCAAAAAACAGTGACTCAGCACTTGCGAAATGTGACAGGTTGCAAGTGTGAATTGCGCAGGATTGTACAGTTCAGTTGACCCTGACCGCCATCACTCGACGTGTCTGTTGTAATGGAAAAGCAATACAAGCTGTGTGGTGGTTTGGGGCAAATAGAAATTGAGGTACCACTGTACATAGTTGGATATACCTGAAAGTATTTTACTACACAAGGAGAAGCCACCTAATCAATTGAACTTATGCATGAAATCATGATGCACAAACTTTAGTTCTTTGCATTGCATTTAAATATGTTATCAACGTGCTTTTTCACATGTAACAACTGTGAAGTAATATTTTATTTGAAAAACGAGTTTTTTAGGTGGCTGGCAGGAATTAATGGCATTTCCATTCATTTCAGTGGGTAAACATAATTTGAAGCTGTAAGTAAATGCACCACTATCAGGCATTGCTGTGCAGGTCGAAGAAAAAAAAAACGAAGCAGCTGGCGAACTGGATGCAGGAAGTCGTGTAACCACTAAGGTTAGCTTCAAGTGATCAACAATTATACCGCTGTGAGTGAGCGCATTTCTAGTCAAATTACATTCTTTTTAAGGAGCTCGGTGTCTGTCCACTCATCATTCATGTAGGGACATGTCAGCGCGCCTCAAGTTTGACAAACTTTCACCCGCCAAATGCAGCGGCGCCAGTGCTACGGAAGCTGGGTGTGTAGGTGGGCGGAAGGATAGAAACACCAACAAAGGGGTCTTTAAATAAAAGCTCAGTGGCGTCCAGACGTGTGTGAGCGCCAGCTAATGTATAAGCTAGCTAGTCAACCGCGTAGCTAAGCGCCTGTCACATCACAGCTGAGCTATATAACGTTAATATTCGCGACTTCCGCAACCAATTAACAAACAAAAGCCGAATGAACATACCGTACGTCTCGGACATGTTGGGCCGCCTCGAGTCACTCGGACCGTTTTCACAGTTGACTCGGAAAGTCAGTCGTTTGTTTTTTTTGTTTGTTTTTTTAAATGCTGTCTGATACTGTCTGAGCTGCTTCGCTTCGGCCACCGCCAACTGAGCCAAGCCAGACCTCGGAGCTACGTGATGACGTCACTGGTCGCCTAAAATGTTGACTTCAAGTCTGTAGGAATTCAAAACATTTCACTGTACCTGCATTGACAGATATTACTTAGAAGTAAATCAACTTTTATGAGCAAATGATCATCTCTTCGCTTTTAACTGCTTCCCTCCGTAGGGGCCAACGGACTAAGTAACCGAACTGTCAAATTCTGGTTGAGGTGAAACACAGTGGCAGTATACTGTAGTGCATAATAACAAAGTAGCTGCATATTTATGGGACGACCAGGGATGGCGCTTCACCCGATCAATTGGGGAAGGGGGCGGGCAATCCTGTTTGAAATTCGGTGTACAGTAGTCCCTCTTAAAAATCCTCCGGCATTTTATTTGATATATGTCAAACACAGATGGCGATACAGATCCAGCCATATCAATTAACATTAGTTTCTTGCAGCGGAAAGACAAAATAAATTGGTGGCAGTGATACACCATTTTAGGGACACTTGATTGGATGTTAAATGATGTCAGCACTAAAATTCTACACAATACTACCACTACTACTACTACTAATAATAATAATAATAAAAATAAACTCAGTAGTAATTTAATGCGTTTGAATGACTACTTTTGGCACATCTTAAAGACGCCCATTTTTTCTGGACGTGGCCTGCTTTTGTTCCTCTCAGCCTTGCTACGTCAGCGAAGAAAGGAGGCAAACGTTGTACCGGTAATACTGTATTGTTTCCTCGCTTGGTCTCTCACGTTCTGCTGTCCCCTATACCCCCTTTCCACACAAAAAAGGCCAGTACTGTGCTTAGTTGGTGTTTAACCAACCGAGGCATATTTTTCAGCAATAGGATTGATGACTTTACATTTAACAACAGCATTTCTGCACGTACAACAAAAAGCCACAAGGTGGCAGGCAAAGATAGCGTTATAAGTGGACGTTATTCTATTGTCACTGAAAAACTACGTGTACGACTCAGTGCATCAGTAAACTCTGCTTCATGGCGAAGGTTCAGCCGCAACCCGGGTGGTTGCACGTGAAGACACAGCCCGTCGTGAAAGGATCGCAAGTGACTCTGCAGGTTGAAGGTGGTGATGAAGGAGCGGTCGCAGTCGTCGCGCGGGTACCGGTACACCAGCAGTGTGTCGGCATGCGCGCGCTAATGCTGCTCCAGGAACCAGGAGTTCCTAAAAGCCTTGCCGCATTCCTAACATAACACATGGTTTGGTGCAAATCCTTGCGCTGCCTCACGAACTCGGTCCAGGTGGAACCGCTAAAGATGCAGCCCGAGTGGTTGCAGTGGGTAGCCTTGGTGAACCTTGAGGTCCTTGAGGTGGCTTGGGAAGTGGAAGTGCATCCTTTCTTCACATCTTTGGGCAATGAAAATAATATTTCATACTTTTGGGGTAAATATAAATGGAGTTGACTCCTTCCCCTTTGCTGCACCTTTAATGCGTGTTATCGCTTGTTCTTTGCATATCCACTAATAAAGAGACACTTGCACAAAGCCCACGGGTGAGAGGTATACGTAAGGCCGCCCAAAGGTAACAGGTGATAAAAGAGCCTTCCTCTACTAATATCCCTTGAAGTTCCTCCCACCTTTTGTTGCACTTTGGCAGGTCCCTTCATCGTTAAAAGCTCTTTTCACTGAGATTAAAGCTGGGGAGGAAACAGGGCTGAGCGTCGTGTGAGGCAAGGATGTTTTCCTAAGGTGGGCTATACAAGAAAGGGTGGGCTCAAAGGTGTGCAGCTGGCTGGGAAAAAAAAACCCCACTGTGCTTCTGTTAGTCACTTGCTTACCTTTGTGGGGGTTAGATCACTCCCTGTCTCCCCTCTCTCTTTCCTGTTCTCTTGGGCCGATGCAGGTTTCATCATCATGATGGATGTCTGCGCTGCAGGCCAAACATGTGCTTCTGTGTGTTGGAGTCGACCTTGGACGTTTCAACATGACCAGCTCAGATGGACGGTTTCATGCGTACCTCTAGATGTAGGCACGTGAGGAGGGCAATTGCAATGAATGCAAGCAGGAGGGAATTTACGCTAAAAATCAATAACAAACGTGTTCACAGTGATTATAGAGGGGAAACCCCCAGTTTAATGCTAGCCAACCCTAAGCAATGTTTACTACAAACAATGACTCATTTTCACAGGGTACATGGAATGAGCCACTTCCAATGGAGAAGAGTGGTTACCTGGAATCTACCGAAACGTATTGTGTAAAGTTAGTACATGTTTGTCATCGTTAAAAGCGGACATAGTATGGGAAACTGACTTTGTAATTGCTTGAAAATATACTGGATTAAAAAATATATATAAATGCAACACTATTTTTGCTGCTGTCTTTCATGGGGTAGTGTATATATTTACATGTAGTCTGGAGAGTGGTGTCTTGACATAATTCTTTAATTCATTCTGTGACTATGCGCAGAACTCAAATCATCTTTTGCTATTGAAATGCCTGCAAACACCATTAATACATTCGTGCCTCCCACTAAAAATCCAATAAAAAATTGCCAGTATTGAGCTCTAATATAATCTTGCACTTTATAAAAACATACAATAATGACATCATTAGATATAATATACAGTATTTGCCCCATCGTTCCCTTCAATTGAGAAAAATAAGGTAAATAATCGATTAAAAATCAGCTGTGTAGTACTTCAAATGCAATAACAGATGAGTGTGAGTCATGTACCCACCCCACCAGCCAACCAACAACAACATGTCAGAGATGTGCATTTTAGCAAACAACTAATGATAATAGTGCACATCTATTTTGGGAACACAGCGTACACCTATGCTCAGTCCAAGGAAAGTTACAATACACGGTTTAAACAACACATTGACCTTCGACTTTTGCACCTATTGTACTTTGTACTATGATGAGAACAATTACATCAAACTAAAGAGAGATGTCAATCAGTTCAAGGATCAATGTAAACAAAGCACATTAACAATGTTTGTACTAAATCACTTTGATATTACTGCAGGATGGATTAATGCTTTTGAATATCTATTAAAGAACAGCGTTTGCTGATACATGCATTTAGTATTGACTGCAGAATTTTGATTTCTTCAAAAAGTTTCCTCGAAATCTCACACACACACACACACACACACACACACACACACACACACGCACACACACACACACTATCCTAAAATCTAACAAATACAATTAAAATAGGAAAATATCATCATCAATATGATGCCGAATTTCCTCAAATAGTGCCTCAGCATTCTTGCTGAGTGCATGGTCCACTAGAAGTCCCTGTAAAATGAATTCAGAGATTTGTTTTTTAACACATACGTGTTTGAAGTTAATTACTGAAAACATGCAAGTACTTATATCTTATATACTTATATAATTCCACCTCAATTCTTTATTTCTCTGCTTTTTTCCCCAAAAATAGTCCATTTCACTTTTTTAAACTCCACTTTCACATTAGATAAATTGTTACACACTGGTAATACTATTTAATGATGGAAACCAAGGATTCAATTCAATTTCCTAAATTGTGACCACAAACCTGCACCCATCTGTCTTATCTCCCCTGAACTGAAAGAATCAATCATATATTTGCATCACATATTGACACGGAAAATCCTCAGCGTTTCCTGAGCTGCCGGATGCAACTTGTTGAGGAATCTCTCCATGATGTCACCCAGAATGATTGGAATTGATAGTAGGTAGTTAATGCTGAGAAGATCAAATTGCAGGGTAAAGCGGTGCCACATCCCCTCTCGACAACCGTCTTTTGTCGTTTGTCCACCCCCCCCCCAACCAGCCACGGCAAATAAAGCACGTTAAGATTTCCTCACATGGGGGAGTGTTCCATCAGTGTGACTGACAGTTCATCTTTCAACACTCACTTAAATGAAAAGATCCCTCTGGAGAACATCAAGTCTTTGAGGACACATGCCAGACTGCACGTACACAAAGGCTTGTTGACAACAGAAAACTCATTCCTCTACATTGCACATACAGAGAAACAAATACGTCAATGCTAAATTTGTATTTTGCCAAACTAAAGAATCAGACTTTATACTTGTTCTTTTGGAAGACACTCCCATCTCTGAGTTCATCTCTCACCTTCCCAAAGTCACAGCAGGCTTATGTACCTTCCCTCCAGGTACAAATACATTCCCCAAACCTCTCCGTTCATTTCCTTTCTCTCTCACCTGTCACAAACCCTTAGCATTGATCCTCAGGAAGATAATCCAGAAGTCCTTTAATATCCCACACTTTAATGAGGAAGGAAAGATTTCACCATCAAATTCTCTCAATTTCTTATGTTGTCAAAGAGGGTCCCTTGAACTGAATATTGCCTCTGGATCGATCATATCGGATAGGGTGTGTTGACTTTGTTGTTACTGAGTTCAAATGGAAAAGGTCTCGTCATACAAAATAACCAATCTGAAATTGGAGTGTTTTGTAAGTCCAGAGAGGTTGAATGAGTGTAAACTTGATTTTGTTGGACAAGGACTCTGTTTAGATGACCTATTTTGCAATTCAAACACTGATTCAAAACAAAGCACACTTCAGAATCTCGCTCCACATCCCTGTGGGAGAATGGTCGAAAGTGTTACCCAGTGTATGAGAGCATTAAAAGTTCATAGAAACGACGAGGATGGGATTCGAACCCATGCGTGTAGAACACAACGGATTAGCAGTCCATCGCCTTAACCACTCGGCCACCTCATCTGCTTCTCACTGATCAAGGAGGCTCCAGCGCACTCAAAACCGCCACTGGATCCAGTTGGGAGGACCATAAACGATGGACGAGGTGAAAGGTCAACTTTGTGAGGAAGCGTTTTTCACCTTCCACATGCCTGTGGGAGACTGGTCGAAAGTGTTAGCCAGAGTATGACAGCATGAAAAGTTCATAGAAACGATGAGATTCGAACCCATGGGTGTAGAACACAATGGATGAGCAGTCCATCGCCTTAACCACTCAGCCACCTCATCTACTTTTCACTGCTCAAAGAGGCTCCAGCGGACTCAAAACTGCCACTGAATCTTGTTGGGAGTACCACAAATGATCGACGAGGTGAAAGGTCTATTTTGTGGAGGAAGAGTTTTTCCCAGTCCACATGCCTGTGGGAGACGAGTCGAAACTGTTACCCAGTGAATATCATCATTAAAAGTCCACAGAAACGATGAGATTCGAACCCATGCGTGTAGAACACAATGGATTAGCAGTCCATCGCCTTAACCACTCGGCCACCTCATCTGCTCTTCACTGATCAAGGAGGCTCCAGTGGACTCGAAACTGCCACTGAATCTGGTTGGGAGGACCATAAATGATCGACAAGGTGAAAGGTCTATTTTGTGGGGGAAGAGTTTTACCCGGTCCACGTGCCTGTGGGAGACTGGTTGAGACTGTTACCCAGTGAATATCATCATTAAAAGTCCACAGAAACGATGAGGATGGGATTCAAACCCATGCGTGCAGAACACAAAGGATTAGCAGTCCATCGCCTTAACCACTCGGCCACCGCATCTGCTCCTCACTGTTCAAAGAGGCTCCAGTGGACTCGAACCTGCCACTGAATCTGGTTGGGAGGACCATAAATGACCGACAAGGTGAAAGGCCTATTTTGTGGGGGAAGAGTTTTACCCGGTCCACGTGCCTGTGGGAGACTGGTCGAAAGTGTTACCCAGTGTATGACAGCATTAAAAGTCCACAGAAACGACGAGGATGGGATTCGAACCCATGCGTGAAGAACACAATGGATTAGCCGTCCATCGCCTTAACCACTCGGCCACCGCATCTGCTCCTCACTGTTCAAAGAGGCTCCAGTGGACTCGAACCTGCCACTGAATCTGGTTGGGAGGACCATAAATGACCGACAAGGTGAAAGGCCTATTTTGTGGGGGAAGAGTTTTACCCGGTCCACGTGCCTGTGGGAGACTGGTCGAAAGTGTTACCCAGTGTATGACAGCATTAAAAGTCCACAGAAACGACGAGGATGGGATTCGAACCCATGCGTGAAGAACACAATGGATTAGCCGTCCATCGCCTTAACCACTCGGCCACCGCATCTGCTCCTCACTGTTCAAAGAGGCTCCAGTGGACTCGAACCTGCCACTGAATCTGGTTGGGAGGACCATAAATGACCGACAAGGTGAAAGGCCTATTTTGTGGGGGAAGAGTTTTACCCGGTCCACGTGCCTGTGGGAGACTGGTCGAAAGTGTTACCCAGTGTATGACAGCATTAAAAGTCCACAGAAACGACGAGGATGGGATTCGAACCCATGCGTGAAGAACACAATGGATTAGCCGTCCATCGCCTTAACCACTCGGCCACCGCATCTGCTCCTCACTGTTCAAAGAGGCTCCAGTGGACTCGAACCTGCCACTGAATCTGGTTGGGAGGACCATAAATGACCGACAAGGTGAAAGGCCTATTTTGTGGGGGAAGAGTTTTACCCGGTCCACGTGCCTGTGGGAGACTGGTCGAAAGTGTTACCCAGTGTATGACAGCATTAAAAGTCCACAGAAACGACGAGGATGGGATTCGAACCCATGCGTGAAGAACACAATGGATTAGCCGTCCATCGCCTTAACCACTCGGCCACCGCATCTGCTCCTCACTGTTCAAAGAGGCTCCAGTGGACTCGAAACTGCTCTTCACTGATCAAGGAGGCTCCAGTGGACTCAAAACTGCCACTGGATCTGGTTGGGAGTACCATAAATGATCGACAAGGTCTATTTTGTGGGGGAAGAGTTCTTCCCAGTCCACGTGCCTGTGGGAGCCTGGTCGAGACTGTTACCCAGTGAATATCATCATTAAAAGTCCACGGAAACGATGAGGATGGGATTCGAACCCATGCATGTAGAACACAATGGATTAGCAGTCCATCGCCTTAACCACTCGGCCACCTCATCTGCTCTTCACTGATCAAGGAGGCTCCAGCACACTCAAAACTCCCACTGATCCAGTTAGGACCATAAATGATCCGACAAGGTGAAAGGTCTACTTTGTGGGGAAGAGTTTTTCACCTTCCACATGCCTGTGGGAGACTGGTCGAAAGTGTTACCCAGCGTATGACAGCATTAAAAGTCCACAGAAACGATGAGGATGGGATTTGAACCCATGCGTGTAGAACACAACGGATTAGCAGTCCATCGCCTTAACCACTCGGCCACCTCATCTGCTTTTCACTGTTCCAAGAGGCTCCAGTGGACTCAAAACTGCCACTGAATCTTGTTGGGAGTACCATAAATTATCAACGAGGTGAAAGGTCTATTTTGTGGGGGAAGAGTTTTTCCCAGTCGACATGCCTGTGGGATACGAGTCGAGACTGTTACCCAGTGAATATCATCATGAAAAGTCCACAGAAACGATGAGATTCGAACTCATGCGTGTAGAACACAATGGATCAGCAGTCCATCACCTTCACCACTCGGCCACCTCATCTGCCTCTCACTGATCAAGGAGGCTCCAGCGAACTCAAAACTCCCACTGCATCAAGTTGGGAGGACCATAAATGATGGACGAGGTGAAAGGTCTACGTTGTGGGGAAGAGTTTTTCATCGTCCACATGCCTGTGGGAGACTGGTTGAAAGTGTTACCCAGTGTATGACAGCATTAAAAGTTTTAAAAGAAAGAAACAGCCAATGTCGTAACTAATTTGATAAAATGAAAGATGGTTACCATGTGTCCCATGTAACACTAAGTTAAGGTAACTGAATGCATGTCCAGTATGCCTGTAATAAATGCCAAAATGATACATTTGACTAAAGTAGGTGTAACTCGTAAAGAAATCCAAATGGGAGCTTTCCTCCAAGGCCTACGCGAGTTGCGTCCTGTCCTCAGCTGGCCGTGTGCTACGATGCGTCAGTGAGATAAGACAGTCGGCCCTCAAGGATAATGTCAGCACCGATTAATGGCAGCCGTGACCTCCACACCAGATAGCCGCAATTCAATCGTCATTTCCGGACTATAAACCGCTACTTTTGTCACACGCTTTCAACCGTGTGGCTTATTTTATGATGCGTTCTGATTCAAGATTTTTTCCAGCGGCCGCAAGGGAGCGCTTGAGCAGAAATGGTAACAGTGAGAAGCTATCATGTGTCACAGTGAAAACAACCGGCCATGAGAGGGCGCACTTCACCAGTGTTTTGAGCTGGAGTGCAATCCGAAAGTTGATCGGCTGGGTCAATGACGGATTTGACCGAACACAAAATAATTTTTATGAAGGCTTTATTCCTGACTGGAAATGTAAAGCATTAATAAAATAAAAGACTGAGATATGTCAAATGGAACTAACAAATAGAAAAGTATACAAAAATAGACAACAGTAGTGGCTTGTGAGCACTTTTCGGCATGTTGTATGTGCCCGAAACACGTAGAAAACAACTAAACTCCCCTGCTTCACGGCTGTTAACACGACCCACCATGCGACACCGTTCAAACTCCCAAACGACGATATTTTACTCTTCATATCCGCCAGGTTACAATTCCGATTGTAGATCCATCAGGTCTGAATAAGCACAGCTCAGCGTTCATCTCACTTCACTTCCTGGTCCAAGTCTCACGAGATTTCCCACGAGATTATCCAACGCTCCTTTTAAAGTGACAGTGCTCCATTTATTAAACGAGGGAGCATTCGCTACAACAGTCATAGTATTGTTCACGTGGTTACATATGCCAAAAGAAAACCTCCCGAAAGACATTGTCTTTTAGTTTTTCTGCAATTTTGTAAAAAGACATTCTCGATTTTATCTGTGTATTTGGGTCACATTTATGCTTAATGTGTTTGCATTTTTTACCCAATATTTTTTACTTTATTTTTCACATTATATTTTGCTATATTTGTCTAACATCTATCCATCATCTCTGAGCCTGCAAGTATATTAATTCCATCTCTTTAAATTTGTGTGTTTGTGTGTGTGTGTGAGGGGAGAGGGTCATCGACCCCACCCACCCTCCCAGTTAGGTGGGTGAATTTGAGGCTAAAGGTGACACGCAAAAGACCAGGTGTGCAACACCTGTGCTCAGCCCCACATAGGTGAACGTGACTCATCGTCTTTCCTGTCTCCCCTTCCTAACCCTCCTTCGAGCAGCTCTAATTGTGATCTCATCCTTTCGAAAAGCCCCCCCAAAAGTTCTTCACGTTCTTACCCTCACTTATCTTACGCTGGAATGTCTTGCTGTTAAATGGCATCGCCATGAGAGGACTTATTGCCGAGTTTCTTGAATCTAGTGGCTAAAAACTACACTCCACCGTCGGATCAACAGTATAGTAGGCCTTAGTGTTCATCCAAAAACAAAGCATTTGTATTTAAAAACTTGATCTTAATATCATAGAATGCCACCTTGCCCTTATGGTTAATTTGAACAATTAACACGGTGCAGTTCTTATAGATTACATGCAAATGTATTGTACTTAAAAGTTAAAGACAACTGAACTGAAATTGATCAGTGATTGTTTCATGTACCACTCGAGGGAGCCCGCTTAAACAAGTGGTACCACAATGTGAGAATCACTGACCTTACTGTGGATGATGCGTATGATGTCTGGAACATAGTCATCGTACATCAGAGACACTGCATTGAAATGGTAAGAACAAATACAGTCAGTGATTTCGTATGACTGATTAAAAAAAAATTAAAAATTGTAAAATAAACAAACATACATTTAAAACCAACTTTCTTTTCATTTATTCATTTGTCAAATGTGTATTTTTAACATTCAGTGCCACCCATTTTCAAAGCAGACTTCCACATATTGCCCACAGATTTATTGCGGTCTGTCGCAATATAAGCACTCAATAAACCTAAAGGAGACTCTCTTCTTGCACCAGAAAATGTTTGTTCCTTGTTCTGTTCTTTACTAATCAGTCTGCCGCACACCCGCAATCCGCGTTAGGATAACCAGCTTGGATAATGGAGGGATAATAGAACATGGGTTGGTTTCACCAAAAACACTAGATTCTGAACAAAAAGCAGAGCACATTTTGTGGGGGATAAAAAGTGTCAATCAGCAAATTGACTTTGACGATAATATTTTTTTGCTTTTTATGATCCAAGAAAGGGATTTATATATATATATATATATATAAAAACACACACACACACACACACACACACACACACACACACACACCATGAACAAACCATCTACCGCCATGGATCCAGACGTTTCAGTCCCATCAAAACATGTTATTGTGGTGATGACCCGTTAAAAGTGTTTGAACTGGCATGAGTCCATCCTTGACCTAACGTCCTCTCACTTGCGTCCAATAAGAGAGCACGCGCAAACAGCAGTGTGCGTCATGGCTGGAGTGCGCCTCTCTTGTGTTATCTGACCCTTTCACGCTCCCTCTGAAAGCACACCGAAGGCAAACTTTTTCCAAGTTGAGATGATTTCATAAGGACCTTAGTCAAGGCTGACTCGTCCACCTCAAAGGAGGCAGCGGTTAATAAAGTTAAAGCCTGGCTCAATGGTAGCTCCTTACAATCCTAGCTTTTACATGACGTTCCCAGCGTCTCGCCCGCGGGGGCCTGAACGCTGGAGTGAGCGGGACACAATGGGGAGGCCGGATTAGCCTTTGTGGGAAGTGACAAGTTGTGGGAAGATCAGGAGGGTTTTACTTTGGGGCTCACCTGGGGAAAGTAGCAATTTAGCCAAACCCTGCTTTTGTTTCCATGGCGACACTGCCTCACACCTTTTGTCTGTGTGCAAACGAGCCTGAACATGTTATAAGCCACTCAATCCTGATGACTTCACTGCCACTGTAATTGTTATCATGTCTAAGAATTCACAGAGAGTTTTTGTGTGCGGAAGATAAGTCACAATTTTCACGCATTTCTATTTTTAACCTCCAAAGACGACGTCACGCAGTGGAAAGTACCGATACCTGGTTTAAAATGGAGGTAAGAAGTTGTCAGAAAAATAAACACAAAAGTAAAGTAACTATACTTAAAGGGGAAGTCAAGTCAAAAATGTTCTTAACAATATGTTCTCTGCACTCAACACTCGTCTAAGCATTCTGATTATTACTGCCTGAGTGAGAATGCAAGTGAGGAGATGAGTATCCAATACAGCCTTTCTGTCGTTCTGTCTTACACTGCCCCCATTTGGCCAAGGTGTGCACACCAGATTCATATGGACCACTTCATTTTGTGATGACATCTTACTCTTTTTTTAAATTTTGACTTAAGTACATGAGTTTACACAAGGATTTGACCTTCCACTTTTGCTCCCTTTGCCCAGTGGCGGTTCTTCTTGCAAGGCAGGTGTGGATGACAGAGCCTTTTGTTCATTCTTACTGTTCAGGCTTCATATGGACGACATGTGGCAACATCGGCTCATAAGGTGGTTCACATGGAAGCTTTCAACGTGAGGCCCGCTGGCTTTGTTGTGTAAATATGGTCTTGAGTTGATGCCAGCACAAGCGTTGTCCTCCTGATACCACAACTGAAACCCCCCCCCCGAGCTTTGATCAACACGTGTATACGACACACAAGTAGGGTTACAATTTGTTTTTCATTCATTTACATTTAAATTCCAATAAATTGCTATATATAGGGGGAAAAAGGGCCGATACTCCCCTAATTCGACCGTTGCCATGGATGGATTCCTGAGACGAATTACAAAACAAGTAAAAATCATGAAATACTCAGCAAAAAGTTTCGAAAAGGAGTATTAGGAAACACTGCAAAATGTTGCTAAAACAATTGACAAAAATATTACATTAAAAATGTTGTAGATTTTTTAGAATATACTACAAATTGTTTGACAAAAAAATAATCCATGAATACAAAATATTTGACAAAAATATTAGAAGTCAGCGCAAGTCAAGTCAGCTTTATTGTCAAATATGTTCTATGTGCAACATACAACACATATTCCTCCCTATCAAAATCAGTGCTGGCACATGCGTGCTGCCGAGAAGGTGCAACCAACAAGCACAGATTCTTTTCCTTCGACGAATGTCATGGCCAAACGCTGAAAACAGTCCAGATCGGGTCTACGCGAAAGACAACAAACACCATATGACGAAACAAAAAGACAAAAACAACAAAAAAAGCAGAGTTCTTGAAGAGTTCTTTCAGACGGCTGCCACCTAAGGCGCCATTTTGGGGAGAAAAAACAATTACAATACAGAACTGCATGATCTAGAATCTTCATATATACATACACCGTATTGATGAAGTCAATAAGATGAGATGCAGTGTGCTAATTGTTCGAGACAGGGGGGATGTGACGCTTGATTTGTGGCCATCTGGTGTGGAGGTCACTAATGCCATTCATCAGTCCTGACTACATCCTCGAGGGCCGATTGTCTTATTTCACTGACATGTCATCGCACGGAGGTGAGGACAGGACACAACTCGCAAAGGCCTTGGAGGGAAGCTGCCCCTTTGGATTTCTTTACGAGTTACACCCACATTAGTCAAATGTGTCATTTCGCCATTCAATATAGGCCTAATGGACATACTTTCAGTTACTGTAGCTGAGATTTATTTTTGTGAAGGTTACATAAGACACTGTAACCATCATGCATTTCACCATTTCACCTATGACTAGCGGGACAGATGGATACTTATAACTACCGTAGAGCTGTGGACACAGGCTGTTTCTCTCTTTTATTATTATTATTATTATCCATCCATCCATTTTATGATCCGCGGGGAGTACGGGAGCTAATCCCAGCTGTCTTTGGGCAATAGTCCCGGTTGCCAGCCAATCCTGAACCGGTTGCCAGCCAATCAGAGGGCACACATAGACGAACAACCATCCGAGCTCACACTCACATCTAGGGACAATTTAGAGTGTTCCATTAACCTGTCACGCATGTTTGTGGAATGTGGGAGGAAACCGGAGTACCCGGAGAAAACCCACGCAGGTACGGGAAGCACATGCAAACTCCACGCAGGAAGGCCGGAGCTGGAATAGAACCCCGCACCTCTGCACTGCGAGGCCGACCTGCTAACCAGTCGACCACTGGGCCGCCCTATTATTATTATTATTATTATTTTTATTATTGTTCTTGTTTACAAAAGACATGTATGATGAGTCTTTGGCGACAAAGTTTTCTCAAAGCATTTGCCTATAGTCAAAACCCTTGATTTAAGGCCCAGATGCCAAACTCCGGTCCTTGGGGGCCACTGTCCTGCATGTTTTCTTGATAACGATCTCGAGCATTTGAACCAGGTGTCTTGGAAGAGGGAACCAAAGACTGAATATTGACCAGTGAATGTTTAATCTCCTGATGAATTGTTTGTCTCATCAACATTCAGTGGATCTGGAGACACTCTGGTTGAAAATGATAGACCTGGGCCAGACATCCCAGAAAAGCTCGGACATTAATTGTCGAGGATGACTCAATGAAATGAATGTCTGAGAAGGATACAGCTCACTGGAAGTCTGGATGTTTGAGTGGTTGAGTGAATGGAAGTGGTACGAGGCTGTTTGCCTATAGGCAAGCTCTTTGCGTTACTGGTCAGGACAGACAACCCCAATGACCTAACTGCCTTCACCTTACACACACACACACACACACACACCCACACATACATAATGGAAATTTGCGTCAAGCTCTTTCATTTCCCTGCTAATAATCTCTTAATCATGAAAGCCACCTGGGGGCTGCCGCCTCTGTTTGCCCAAAAATTACATTTCCATGAGGTCACTTCGCCCGTCTATGAACTTTCCTGACAAAGTCTGACCACTTGCTAAAGCCAACAATCACGATAGGGAAACACACGATAGTGTTGTGTGAGTCTCACGTAACGCTGCACACAGAGCAATGCAAACAAAGCCACTGGCAAAAGAAAAATTCCAAAATAAAACGTTTTTGTTTGAAGATTTTTTATTATTTTTTTATGTACAGATGGATGACCGTTTCATCCACTGATTCTTGAATCACATAATTTAGAAATCCGACTATTTACCAGAAACCTGTGCAAAACTTGAAACGTAACGGTATATATAAAAAATACTTTCAACTTTTTTCCAATAGAACTGGAGATACTAAAAATTTTGTGCAGTTTTAAAGAAAAAAAAACATAGCACACTATAATGCTGTACTTTATCAAGTCATAGTAATTAGGTAATTAAAATGAATATAGAAAATAAAAAAAAAATTGTCAGATGTTTTGCTTTAATTCACTGAACATTGTGCTGCTCTTTCTGATGTGCATGCCTTGGCCATTTGGGGGCAGTATAACAGACATAATGATAAACTGTACTGGAGACTCAGCTCATCTCTGATTGTCTCAGCAGAGGAGTAAAAGTAGTCATTCTCTGCAGAGGATAAAGAATACATGCATATAATTATTTTTTTATTGTATTGTTTGTCTACATGCAGTAGTTTTAAGGTTAAATGTTGAAAAATGTGCTATTTTCCAATATATGTATGTATGTATGTATGTGTATATATATATATATATATATATATATATATATATATAAAAACATCTTTTCTACTTTTTGCAATATAAATATTTTGGTCAATTCATCAAAACGTTCAATCTTTTATGTATATTATGTCTAGATTAAAAATCTCATTTCATCTTTGATTTATTTACGTCATCGTTTA